AACAGCAGAGCATCTACTTCTATACTGCGGCTTTTATAGCGCAGAAAGAAACCAGCTTAAAAAGACTCTAAACCAAAAAGTACTTAAACTCCCACTCTTACTCCATACTACGAGCGGTATAGAAGCTACTCTAGCTTTTATTTACTAGCACGAAGATAGGAACAAGAAAGTGGCACCTAGGCCAGGAGGGCTAGAAGGAACAAAAACAAGAAAGAAACAGCAAGAAAGAAAGAAAAAGAAGAAAAAAAAAAAGAAAAAAAAGAAAAACACGTTTGCTTTTATTAAGTACTATTTCCTATCCCCTAAGAGAGCTCGCTGGAAGGCAGCTTAGCCGCCCTACATCTCTCCCTATTACCAAACTGCTCTTTAGCACCAGGCATCTAGAAAGCTAGTAATAGCTTAGCTAGATAAAGGCCGAAGCACCCTAGCTACACTTTATAGCAGAAACCTCCAAATTGTAAATAAAAACTAGATAGAACGGCCTACGGCCAAAGTCTTACATAGCCAACGGCTGATACAGGACTATAATGGAATATATATATATAAACCTGTTTACTAGGCATGCCTGTTTGACAACCACTTCACAAGTTTGGCTATCGGCCCGCCGTTTAGCTTCTGTTCGCAAGACCCACTACTCACGTGCTGGAAGAGTCCTGAAAGTTTTGAAAACGTAGTGTCGCATTCTGGACACCTGAATAGATAAACCGCACTGAAGTACTCTTCCTCGAAATCATAACAGCTGAGGATGTCGTCACGGTATTCCTCGTCCAGGAACTTCTTCCATTGATAACACATTGCAGCTGACTCGTTTAAGTCAAGAGTATCAATGCCAGACGTACACGTCCCAGACTCTAGATGAATGATCATCCCAGAATAAGTAGTGAAGGATCGAGTGCAACCATAGCATTCGATGGAAGGCTCCAGGTGCACCAGCTTATGCTATTAACTATTAGAGCGACGACTGAAGCAGGATACGAAGAGAACGTTCGAACACGGTAATACCTACATGTCGCAGATTATTAAGGCTATCAAAGTGACGCTCGTATACCGTACACACGTTATCGTCCGTCAAATGCTCCTTGTACGCTTGGCTGTCCGGTATCCACCACCCACCATCGTCACAACCGTCGCATATAATCCTATGAAGCGTGCTACGGTGGTGTTGTACCAACTCATGATAGGAGGAGCCGTCGAACTAACAGACATCGCAAATGTGGTGACGAGCTGAGGCATCGTAGTGCTGGTCTCTTGCTCGACCAGTATCGAATGTTCGGTCGCAACGGTGACAGTAAGGCTTAGCAAAAGTACGAGTTCTAGCATAGCCTGTGCGGATAGCAGTCATTATAACTAAACTATGTTAGACAGAGAATGAGCATAGGCAAAGAGTTGACTGGATACATGGCCAAGCTCTGCGGGACTGGAGGAGATCCGCCCGCCAAGGTTCTGCACAGCAGCTACAATAGCCTCGTGCACGAGTTATTGCCGGACCAATTACTAACATAGTTGCATCTTCATCAGCCTTGCGTAATACTTCGGCTTGTAACGGGTCCTCGCAGCGGTTGAGATAGAGGTCAGCGCAAGCCTAACCAATACCCAGGATTGAGTAATGGTCATTTCGCGTCTTCGCATTTCTCAGCCACAGACCTACTGACTCTGAAGCGTAGGCAGATAAATTATTGCTAACAGCGCTTGAGCAGTCGCTATCGGGTAGGGTGCACTCTCCTAAGCGTCACGCTGCCGCCTAAAGCGGCCTGTGCGTCATCCTTGTTCTGCGTCTTAGGCACGTCGCGCCCGCCCTTGGGTATTCATCCTTCTTTGAGTGGCGCGTCGCTCGATTGCCGCAACACCATAACGTTCCAACTTCGCCTCTTGCAAACAAGCTTGGTCATGGCCCCAATTCGTCCACTCCCTCCTCCTCCTCCTCCTCCTCCTCCATTGTAAGCTTATCTTTGTCTCTGCCACGTTTCTCTTTGGGCTAACAATAGCCCTGTCAGTGACTTTCCTGAAAAGCCTGATATGCCCACCATTTTCGACACCGACCTTACTACCGTCGTTGATATGACGAAAGCTAAGAATATCGCTGTGCACAAGATTGACAAGTCGATCTGGCACCTGCAAGACTCTAACCGCATACTCAAAAGAGGGCCTAATGTAAAGGTCGCAGAGGCAGAAGCTTTGCGGTTTGTCGCCTCGTCAACCGATGTGCCTGTTCCAGAGGTGTTTGGCGCTTACGAAAGAGATGGCTTTGGAAACATTTTTATGTCTAGGGTTATTGGAACACCGCTACATGACGTTCTGCATACCTTTGACGAGGCACAGGTGGAAACAGTGACTGCACAACTTTCAGGATTCGTTCAGAGCTGGATGGGTCTACGTGGTGACTTTTTTGGGTCTATGGGCTCCAAACCATGTCGAGATGTCTTTTTTCAACATTTGCCTGCTGCAAACATGCCAGACCGGGAATATGGCCCATTCAGGTCGCGTACAGAATACTGTGACGGGCTTATCGATGCACTTCGAAATTCCCGGCCTTATGGACGATTCGATGCCAATGATGCACAACTGATAGAAAGAATCCAGCGTCTTGGGGACGGATGCGCTGTATTCTGCCATGGAGATCTCACCCCAGACAACATACTCGTCGATGACCAACTCAATGTGGTTGCTATCCTGGATATGGGAGTTTCAGGGTTCAGTATCCCCGAACGTGAATACTTCGAAGCAAAGTCGCGCGCTCGTAATTCTTTGTGGTCTTCCATGATCGATCAGATAATCCCAAAGATACCAGATGACACTTATGCCTTACTATTAGAACTCGAGCGTGAGCTCGTTCGATATAGTGGACTATGAGGTTTACCTAATCCAGATCTCCCTTGTCACCCCAATTCTACCTTCTTGCTGCGGTCCATCTCTCACCCACTGCTGCTGCAACGTCTTTAGAAGGCTTCCCGACGATTCCTTCAATCCAACCTGAGGTACCGGCAGGGAGTAATTCCTCAGCTTCGAGTGCAATCACGCAATCTAGAGTCCAGTCTTGACATCGATCCTGCATTAATTAGAATTATATCCAATCAGCAATGGTGTCCTCACTTTATTGTTCCGCGGTGCTGGTTCGTTTGATATGATATCCACAACCTGATTATACTTTGTCGGTTCGATATAACCTAAAAGTACCCTTCCTTCACAAGTCTGGCTTTCTAGTGGGTGACCGCTGCGAGTTTCGAACTGATAAATCAATCCTTCGAAAGACATCAACTGTACGTGCAGGAGGTTTCCAACTTCGTTTCCCTGACGGAAAATCAGAAAACCCCAATGGGAGCGGTGGTTCGGGTCTTCTCCGTCCCCATAGATTCCGATCGACAACGTATAGTATGACATCGGTCTCGCGCAACGCAAATTATTCCAAGCTTAGTATTGGGAGGTATTCAAGAAGATTAAAGAAGAGTGGAGGACTGGCTGAACACGATGAATTAAGGGACTGTGTTAAATACACGAAAGATGCAGCAGAGACAGATTTAGGATCATTTCCGCTTCCAAGCTCCTGCTAACTAATGCATCTACCTAGCAAGATCCAAATTCAGATCGAAGCAGGCATCTCAACTGAACAAGGCAGCCCGGAAGGCTATCAAAAACGGGCGAATAACCGCAACTTCTCACAATGGCACCATCACCTATATCGGTATCCTGAACCCGAACTATGCAATAATCTCCCTAACTTTATGTCTAGGAATGAGGCACAGAAGCTGCTGGATCGGGTGAAGAAGCTGTTATTGCCGCGCTTTCGCAAGCCAAGCAAACTGTTCATATCTAGGAGCGACTGCTTGGTGATGTATAGCATAACAATCTCTATTCTGAAAATGACTTTTTCACTACAGGAAATCCACGAAATGGTACTATCACGATAGATAGGTTAGCTCCAAAAAGAAACCGACAGTTCCCGTCACCTCGGCACTAAGTCCCAATAAGCCACTGATGCTCACTCTGCATTTTATTCGCCCTACCAACTGTGTGCGTTTATAATGATCCATATGCAGTTAATATGCGCCGCGCTGTATAGGGCTATTAACCCCTGTAGGGATTTGAAATGTCATTGCGTACCACGTCCAATGACCTAACTAGTCTAGCTAAGACGAGTGGTATATAGTGAGCTTTCAATCCCTCTCACAAAATTACTCCTCTTCTAACCTGCAATCTGTGCCTTCTCGGGAAGCCAAGAGAGTGATGAGTTCTCAAGATACTATTCCAGACGATACATTGTACCAAGTATGCATAGATGCTGCACGATCAACGATTATTGTTAATCATCTCAGGGATATCAAAACTATCTACCAGTCAGAGATGATGCTAGTTATCCAGCTTCAGATCTAGCAAAACCAGCATCTGCAAGCAAGCAGTTGGATGATAAGAAGAGCAAGGAGCAGCCTAGCAAATTCACCTCGCGCAAGACCAAAGAAGCAGTCTCACACACCAACACTAGTAAGTCTATCCTCCCTTCAAATCGAGTAGCGCTTAAAAATTATATAGAGCGAAAGCCCGAGGAGAGCAACACTGAAGTGGTAGATTTCTTGGACGAATTAGCAAATATAAAGGGGCAGCTAGAACATATATTAAGTAATGTAGAGGACTTGGTCTCTCGTTTCCAAGAAGCGCCCGAACAACACACTCATAAGGCGTTGCATATGAGCGGCAAGCTCGTTAGATGGGCAGATAGTACTATTACCAACGGTGCTAAACACGATACACATCGCGCTAGGAAAAAAGCACATAGAAAATTCTAAACTCTGTAATAATTGGTTCTTCGAACGAATCTATCAACCAGTTCCTACCTCACATTTTCTTGCGGCTGCTTGTTAGGACGGCTCAACGGAACGCTGAGAAAACATAACCGAGCTCTCTGATGACGACGACACCACTGGCTTTGTGCTTTTGCTAAGTGCATTATGAACACTACGCTACTAAGTTAGACTACCTTCGTCAAATTGCCGCGCTGGAAATGATATCATCTCCAAATCTTCAAATGGGATACCCGCTGTCTCATTTATATCCGGTGATAAGTGTAGGGAGCTGTACTCCCAGCTGTTTTCGAGCTCAGCTTTCCTTTCGTACATGCTACCTACATTAGGACCGTCAATTAGATGGAATGAACCATACCTGTAAGTCAAGGGTGGCAAGTCACATATGTTTGATGAGCTGTGGTTCGAATAGGACGTTGGAGTCGATAGATCGTGATTAGATGTTGATGCCTTACTTGAAGTACATGGCGTAAGGAAGTTGGTATCGATTAAGGCCTCTGCTTTTCCTTTGGATCGACATAGAGCTATATAGGTTAGATATACACTTGCTACTTAAAGAAAGAGTTTTGGTGCAGACTCGCACCCTTTTCGAACACTTCTATAACTGTTAATGCATGTAGTAGCCGCCTCTGCAGCGATCTATTGTCTAGCTCAAGCTCTGTGTTCTAGAGCTGTTAATGAGGCAGTCTATGTTTGAACACTTGATTCCGAACCTGTCGTTCAAGAGCATCAATCTGGTCTTTGACCCTCTGGCGCGACCTTCACTGACTCTCACGGTTCCTTTCTCTTTTCCTTGCAAGTTGGGCGGTTGTGGGTTTCATGATGTTTACAGATTTGCTTCTAATAACCACCTTTTCTCTAGAAAGATGCTCATTCTAATTAGGTTGATAGGGAGAAGAGTTGAACAAGATCAAAGTGGTGATTTCTGTGGAATCGACAAGACAACAATGATAATTAATAATTCTACAGATACATCAATAAACTGATCCAGTAGAAAATGGAGATATGGGGTTAATGATATGGCTAACGTCCATCCACTCATAACGGAACAACAGCCGTAGCGGAACACCAACAGCACTCTCTCCCTTGACAACGTCAATACCCATCACATAGCTCAGATACTCTCGGAATAGACACCTCGACCCCTTATCTCTCTATAGGCCCGATTTCTTTGTCGCAGCTTTCTTGCTTACCTTATAATACCATAAGTCGCTACTTGGCTGCTAATCTCTACCACCTTGGACTGCCTTAGGCCTTCTCTAACTTCTATGTATCTGCCTAAAAGCTAGTCAACCTATAGAATACTATATTAAGATCGCATGCCGAGCAGCTTGCTGCCTCTAACAAGCTGGTTGCGCTGTAGTAGTGATTTGTTGCTTAATCGAATCGCACAGCTAAGCAGTGACTGACAGCCTTGCTATACAGAAACGGCCTAGCTGTATTCTAGCTGCGCTAAAGTATAGCTACAGCTGACTCGTGTTTAGTAGCCCTGTACTACTTACGTGATAGTTCGCAGCATGCGATATACCGAACGGCCGCGCCGCTAGCTTCTGTAAGTACTTAGAACATCGCTAATTCGACTTAGGATTAGGAGCAGTGCTAAGACCCTTAGGGCTATAGCGCTTGTTGGTTTAGCTAACCTGAGACGTGGTTTAACGTATAGCAACACCCGCCTTGTAAGTAGATATATACGATTACAACGCCCTTAAGCTCTAGAACCCGCTATTCTCTCCGTTAACTAAACAAGAGGCCTAATCAGGTACCACCACGTCCTTATGCTTTTCGAGTCCACTAGCACCGATTCCTAGATTAAGCAGTAGCCGAGCTCTAGTCAACTTATTAAAAGGGAATACGATATGATAGGAAGTATGCAAGCTAAGATGAAGCACGGCGGGCCTAGAAATTGAAGCCTGCGCTTTAGCAAGTTTGTTTAACTAAGTGTTACTGGCGAAATACTGTCGTTCTAAGCCTGTCCGAAGATGGAAAAGCTGTGAGGTGTTTCGCAGATAGGCACAATATATATCAATGAGTAGATTAAGACGAATCCTTGGGGGGATACCCAAGGGTTCTGGTAGGGCTATATACTCTATCTCTGTGGCTGTCGCGCCTCCGGCCCGAGTAGTCTCCAACGGGTCCCCGAGGGCTGGCCTCTACTGTCTAGAGTATCGTGACAAAAGCTCTGTGTATTTTAGTCATATAGCTGCCGTACGGTTAAACAACTAGCGACTTCTTATATAGGCACTATAATCTCTAAAACCTTAGTAAGGTGCTTTAGTTCAACCTGTGAGGTTCGTGAGGAGTTTTAGATTATTTATATTTGTGAAAATGAGTATTAGTGGAGCTGTGATGGTGGCTATGCTTAGTAAGAGTATGTTATTTAGATCTATACACAGCGCTCTTCTCTTTAGCTATATCTACAAGCTATCGCCTGCGGCGCAGCCCTTTGGCAGGAGCGGATCGACTGTCCTTCCTGCAGCTGGTGACGACGCCGCGTACCACCGAAATACCTGCGGTAGCTACGAGCTGTTTACCAACCACTATAGCGAACAGCATCTGTGGCAGAGAGTTTAGCGACCCCGTCTGCTCGAACCCGCTTAGCATCGCCTTGCCCGAGTCGTACTGCACCACCCCGCCAAAGGTCGCCTGGCTGTTTAGTACTTCGATAGTCGGATGTATTCCGATTCCAAGGACCTAGTCTGGTGGGCAACTTTGTCATTGGCTTAAAAGTTGAGGTGGATGTTGTGAATCCGAGATTGCAGGGACTTATCGCACTGTCTTGACGCGATGGAGAACCTGTCTGAAGCCTTCAGGCACTCTTTCTCATAGTCTGACGACGCCTGCAGCAGTGATGCGCTGTACATCGTAACATCGTGAGCACGTGCACGTTTCTGGTAAAGCTGGTATTGTCCGAGGGTAATCGCATCGTTCATGTTGCAGAGTACGACTAGGTGACGTAAGTTGGGCTCTGGCATTGCGGCCTCCTTTGCTATTTTATCATGAATATTGATGGAGTGATAGAGCTCAAGTAGTTCAATGTCCGATAGCTGCGCGTTGTGCAGGCAGGAGTCAAATTTCGCAGCCAGTTGCCTAAGGCGGGGTTGGAGAGGGTCCTTATTTGCGGACATGGGATTGGCGCGTTATATGCACTAGCGTGCTCTTAGTGTTATGGAGGTAAGGGCACCGGGCGATGTTGTCAGCAATATCCATCGTATAGCCTTGGTGGAGAGAGACACAACGGTTTTGTACTCTACCTACGGTTGCAGTTGTGCTCTATGCATGAAAGATGTTGGGGCTTTAGGCCCATACATATGGATTGATTTTCTGCACTCTATAGCACGCTCTTGACTAGTTCGGACTAGGAGTTGTCGATGCAGAGCACCCAGAAGGCGCATGAACATGGCCAGCATCAGGTCCCAACAGACTCAACGAAGGAACTAGGCTGTATTTTTCCTTCGCAATGATTTAGCCGTCTAGGTTAAAACAAATTTTAATTAGGGAACAGTAACGATATACGAGTCGACTAATGCTAGCAGGTTATCCCAACAACTGCCAAAGAGTAGAAAGGAGTGGGTAATGCCTTCAGAGTAGGTCTCTCGCCACCAAAATTAACTGCAATCTAGCGGCATGGTGGGGCAGATAGTACCGTTTAACTAGAGCTGACGCCTATAGAATACGGCTGAGTGTTGCAGGAAGAGAGCTTCTTCACTACACCCTCTTACACGGGTTGCAAATTCGCGATCCATTTGAGCTTCGCGCTAGAGTTCGAACCCTGTTCTTAGCGCGATCACAGAACGAGAACAAGCCTTCTCCAGCGTATTATATACATGTATGACATGGCGCTCTATATAGTGTGGCCTAGCATCCTAGAGCTCCTTGGTAAGAAAATCCAACGTATGACAGCACGATAACGGCGCTCGGGGGTAATTTTCAGAACGAAGTTACGGCGGAAAGGAACAAACACGTCTAGAAAACTCCGAGCAGCAGCGCATCTAGCTAAACGATCTCCTTCCCCTACTTATTCTTTCATCAGCGAGCCCACGTAAATTTAGAAGTCTTCGTTTTATTTTACGGGTCACTAAATTGGTTTAGCTGTCCTCAATTGCAAGCCTTCTTAATCGTACGACAAGATTATAGCTATTAAGAAGATAAATAGCCAGCTTTTGCTAGCTAGGCGCACATCATGCCAATCTAGCGCAACCCGCAGTATAGAGAGCTTTTGGCTGATCCGATTCTGGTAAAATCTAGTCATCGGGATCCAGGACGCGCGGAGGGACGATGACGAAGGGTGGCAGCTCTAGAACATGTGAGCCATAATGACACCAGCTGACCGCATAGTGACGTAGTGCACCTATGACACTTGCTTGGAGCTTGCTCACTTGCCGTAGCTCTTTAAAGTACCATACTACCGCTTTGCGCTCAGGAGTAGCTCTCAATCCTACAGCAGTATTTAACACCAATCTCTAAGCATACAACGATACCTAAAGGTAATAGTCTGTATACTATAGACTGTTAGCGGTTTCTAGATACATTTGTGGAGTAACGTACGCTAGAAGGTGGATGCTAAAACACCATACTAGTATAACGCGTGACGGTTTTGCCGGCTAGGCAACCACGAGCTATGCTCGAGCTCTATTTAGCGAATAGGGAGAACGTCTATTACTCTGATTTGCATAACACCTTTAATGTTCTTCGGCCACGCTATTCCTGCCCTTCCTAACCCTACCATATTCCCTAATATTACCATATTCCATCATCCCCAGCACTCTCAGAATGAACCGTCCTGAGGATCAGGACGGCTCTAAGGTATGTCTGCTCTCACTGCCTTATGCGTAGATGCTCACGCTACGGAAGCCTCTTACCGAGCAAGATGTTCGTTTGCTTCGCCGATACGGAAAGCTCCCAGCAAGGGAGGATCTGCTTGATCACCAACTTGAGGTATTTTCGCGCTATATTTGCCAGTACGTTGTGTGTTAGCTGACTCGAGCAGTTTCCATTAAGCTTCACTTTCGAGCCAATCTACGACCCCATTTATACAGGCGTCTCTTCGCTGTCGCAGCACCCGTGGACACCCTCCCTCCGCAGCGACGACCCGCAGCAGTTTCAGGCACCAAGTTCCCTAGAGCCGTCTCCGCGCCTGAGCCCGAAGCGCGAGTCCACCGGTGACGGCCCCGAACTTGACGAGGAACCAATGCCGAAGCGCCCGCAGCGCAAGCGCGGTCAGCCGCGACTTGACCGCAGCAACTTAGGTACCTCAACTTCATCAAAGTGCCACCGCACAAGCTGCCTACCACATAGCCAGGTGGAGCGCAAGTACCGCGAAGGCATCAACGCTGAACTTGAGAGGCTCAGGCGCTCAGTTCCGACCCTGCCTCAGAGGGACGAGTGTGGAGTCCTGGGCCAGTCCAAGCCTAGTAAAGCAATGGTCATCGCCAGTGCGATTGACTATATTAAGAATGTCACGCGGGAGCGAGATATGTACCACGTGGAGAACGAGCGATTAAGAAATTTTGACAAGCAGGACTAGGGCAAGTGGAGAGCATATTCGGTAATGAATTTCCTTATGGACCTTTGAACATATCGAATTTTTTATTTCCTTAACTTGGATATATGAACAAAATTGTGGAATGAGTTGTATTCCTTAGGCGATGCCCGATATGATACGCCGGCATTTCTTTACATTCTACGTTGTGAACGGAAAGTGCTGTCTAGCAGCTGAATAAATCATCATCATTGTATGCATGTGAACTTTCTGCTTGCCTTTAACGACTGATTGATCCGTCGTAATTACGCGCCCGTCGACGTTTATGCGCGCTCGCTCCACTGCCCGTCCAATGCAGGCTTTGTAGGGTGCTTAGTACTCTGCCAGCGCCGTCGATCATGACAGCATTTGCAGCACAGGCGGTTTTCTGGGCGCCTGTATAATAGGCCGCTAGTGGCAAGTGTGTGTGTTCGAGCTAATATGCATGTGGCAGTAGACCGATTAGTTATTCGAGTGGCGCACATCACTCAGCGGCGCACTCCAAAACTCACCGAAAATGGGCAAAATTGTACCTCACTATCTCAAGAACAGTTTAATAATAAGCTCTAAAAATTTGAGAATAGATTTCTATAACTACCTATTTCAAGGCCTTGTTTTAACTCAGCAAGATGTTTGTTAAAAATTCGTAGGGAAATAGCAATTAGACTATATTTAGGGGCTGAAAGCGGCCAAAAATTTGGTATCTGAATAACGGGTAGGTCTATCGCTCTAGGAATTAAACAAGAGTTCTATAAGTCTTGATTACCATGTCGAGCCACGTAGTTGTCCACTGGCCAATAATGCTGTATTTAAACCTGCTCTCAGGAAAATCACGTCACACGTAATATAATAATTTTTATAGTTAAACTCCACTACTCACCCTAAGTATATCTTTAAGTAGAATTAGTTCTATATTGTGATGTAGTATCACGTGACTAACTCGTAGTATATATTGCGATTTTCTTTCGTACGTATACAGGCACCTTCTTCACTCAATTCTATTGCGGCGATTGAATTTTAGCTTTATTATATCTACTTGATTGCGGGTTGCCTCCTGATCTTTTGAGCTCGATCACGTATCGTGCCACAATATATACCCAACCTTCGTCAATCACCCATAACTCTTTTCCACCAGCATCGCCCGACAATCGCGCAGACCCGCTAACACTAGCTCACCTGCCTTAGTATGGTATATGATAGGGACGTACAGCTCAACCCTTTTTAATTTAGATGGAATGATCTCCCAACCCTGCAGCGTGCTTCTGAAAAATGGTATTGGTGTAAATCTACGTCCCCAAGGTACTTGAGGGAGGCGGCCAAAAATTCCACCGAATCAGCGACTAGAGCTTGCAACTTAGCACGAGAAAGAAATGGGGCTACATGCTTGTGTTGTAAAGACTCAGTGATCTAGACTAAATCAAAGTAAACTAAGGGCGTAGGCAGTAATGAAAGGTAAATAGAAGTCTCGAGCTGATCGGCCCAATTCCTATTTAAGCACGCTACGTGCATTCACTGGTTCGTGAAACTGTGTACGACTCCTTTACTGGCTCGTTCATGAATCAATGTGCCGGTCAGCTTGATTGCTAGCAACTTTAGATACCGCAGTCTTGGAATCAGTTATATAAGTAGGCCACATGTTTATGTAATTAGGCTCTGCGATTCTAGACTACTGCAGAACAGCTCTTAATTGCTTGCTTAACGCCTTTTCTTTTCCCAGTCATAAGTAACGTCCGTCCCTTTGTGGCGGGACACTCTGCGTGACGAGACGCCAGACACTTCATAACACAACAAATGTAACAACAAGCCAAAAGGGAAATTATTGGGATAATAGCCTTAAGCTATAGTTATGTAGCTGATATGCAACATAGCAATCGTTCCCCTTGTCACACCTTCCAACGCGTCGTCAATCCTACCATGTTTGAATATAATAATACCAAGGTCCGTTTCAGAATCACAGCCATTCCTAGAACTTCAACTACGATAACGTCTAGCCGTGACTCTCACGGCCACTGATAGCACGCCAAGGGTCTGTATCGAAGACAGGGAGACTCTGTGGCCTATTAGGCGTGAATGGATCATCGAAGTTCCAACGACATCTGGCCGGCTTATCCCAAGCGTTTTTAGAGTCGCGAAGGAACATGCGCAACAGATGACGGGCACTAGCACCGTCGCCAGCACCATGGTATTCCGCACGAGCATGCACAATGCTCAAATTATGGAATAGTTGAATGTCTCCTTGTTGACGGTCGACTTTTGTGCAGAATTGCCTGGCTAGCTCTTCGACAACGTGCACTGCATGCAATTGTTTCTTCGTGACCTGCGGCATAGAGGGGTCGCGTGGGATATTGCTTGTACCAAGAAGTGGAGCCTTTGCGAGCTGGCATATGGGTTTACCTTTCGAGAAGAAGAGAGTAGAACCCAACTCGAGATAGGGTGCTCCATCCCTAAGTCTTGTCAGTAGAAGTTCATCTTCGTATAACTATTGCTGGTACAGAAGAATAGAGCTTACTTCTTTTTCAGCTCGAAAGGCCAATCTGGCTCTGCCATTGTTTCTAGAACACCAGGGTCACTTTTTAGGAGTTCGTTGTAGATCTTTGGAAAGCTTGCGACAAACTGTTCGCCTCCAGTACCAGAGCCGCCATCATTGCGCACATGGAGAGCAATTACGTCGCCTGAAAAGCGATCACTGTGGAAGTCCATGGCTGAGGTCACCTTGGAGCCAGCTAGACCGATACCTTTGCAACCTTCGGGGATCTGCCTTTTGGTAGCGTCAATAATGTGACTTAGCGTCTGGTTGGCGTAAGAGTCAGTTGCTCTTTCCTGGCAGATGTACGAACAGATACCCGCGAAAGCGATAACGGCCTCTTCATCGTTAAAATGTGCAGAATCCAGACCTCGCAGAACAGTTACACCTTTACCGTGATGGAGCTCTCTACTGACAGATGAGAACATATTCACCAAGTCTGGGTTGCTAAGAGCGAAGGTGTTCGTGCTTATCTTTGCGCGCGGAAGTCCAGTGACTGGAATGGGAATTAGAATTTGCCGTATTAAACTGCGAAGTCGGGTACTCAAGCTTGAATGCAACTACAGCTGCTCTAATATCCAGGACATGGCTATCATCAAGCTTGACTACGTACTCAGTTGGACTGAGCTCATCTCCCTGCCATACAAGAGAGCCAGAAACAGCCGGTGCGAGAATTTCGGATGGATCGAGAACGAGCGAGGATTTGCCTTCTAAGTATCCACGAGAAGATATCGTGCTAGGAACCTGATATGACATTGTAATCGCCCAATCTCCTTAGAAGGCTGTTGAGATTATATGAAAGACTAACAATAGTAACTGTATCAAAGTATAGAGGAAAAGACTAACAGTAAATCTGAGTTACGAATATGTCAAGATAACGATTGAAAAGACGCCTGCCATCTTGGGTAATGCCGGAAAGATCGGCAATCCATACCCATCCAGGCTTCTTGCCACTGTCGACTAGGTTGTCACCCTTTCCAGTAATACACGTCAGTCAGCCTCCGCGGAGTAAGAACATATCTCCATAGTATCTCTCCACAATATCGAGACCCGGGTTGATGTGGAGCAGCGGAATGTATCAATATGCCTGTTACCTATGTGGAATATGGACCTCCATACTTCGCCAAGGATTGTCCACGAATGTTCTACTAATAGTCTAATCTGTAAGAGTCTATGTGAATTTATGTTCGCCCATTGTTATCTTAACGTCCCTCCCTGTACGGCGAAAAACTTAGTGAGTCGGAAGTAACTAACAAGTGTGCAAGGATAGCACGTGTTTTGAGCTGACGCCACGTCTCATTAGCTGTTTTCGGCCCACCGGGGTTTTCGCCACACAGCGGGGGACGTTACTCATAGTATAATGCCGCGGAGGAGAATTTGCCGAGGACGAATTACGCTTCTTAGTAACTCGAGGACAGTACCTTAGGTCAAAGCTTTTTTCGTATCGAGGTCATGTTCTAGGACTAATGTCAGAAACCGTGACCCTTGTGGTTGTCTCTTTTAGGAAGTTCGTGTCGCGATGTAGTTTCTCGGAATGTGCTATAATTGGTTGAGCGTAACTAGAGCATAACATAAGGATCGGAACGGAGACGGATAGAGAAAGGATCCTCGGGTGCTCGGAGATGAAGGGGAGATAGCTGAAATGACTGCTTTCTAGATGAGCATGCCAACGAGAACTTGGCACGGAGGGAATCAACTGGGGATTCTACAATTCTCTAAAAGCGCGTAATCTCTCTTATTGAGCGTTGCTAACGCGTCCGGCGTCATAAGTATAGTACACTGAAGTTCTGTCACGGTAGATGAAACTCAAATCACATCTTCTGTCAGCGAGTGCTCAATCTAACACCGAACCTCTTAACTACTACTTGCTATTGGCGCGGATCCCAAAACCTTAAAAACATTATAATTCAGCTCTACATGCAAACTAGTAATATTATCACAATCAAGACCCCCTTCTATTTCTCAACTAAGTAATCTTGTGCTCCGTCGTAGAAAGCAGCGAATTCACTTCCGAGCCACTCACATCGTCCCGGGTAGAGCAACCCCTCAAGTCGAGCCGGCTTACTTAACAAATCCAATGTGATGTCTCTGCATACTTCCTACTTGGGTAATTCAGCGTCTCAGACTGTGGAAAATAGGTGCTATATCGGCACAACGTACAGATCCAATCATATTGCAAATCTCTGATGTATGTTTTACAGAATTGGGAACGGGCGGCAGTATCGAACCACGTAACGCTGACCCAAGGGCTTGGATATGGATGTAAGCGAGATTAGTTTTGTAATTCGGAATTATAAGATGTTGGTTGGCTAGCGGAGTTTAAGGCCAAGCGGACTAACTAGTACTGGAATGGAGTGGAGCGGGTATGCAGATTATGTTTGGTTTGCAGGATCTAGAATCCCTCTGCAAGGATAGCATATAGGTTGTCGTTTGATATTCTTTATTGTAGAGTAGTTTCTTATTGTGATCCATGGCTGCATGTTTGATTGAAATCTCGACAGCTGGTTGTTTGTGAGAAACGTTATTTCATATCACTAGGCCAAAGAACTCCAAAAAAGACGTTAACAAAGCACTGTGAACGATGATCTATAGACAATAAAAACTAGCGCGTTACGCACGACCATGCGAGGATCTATCCCTGTTTCTAATCCCTACATTAGCCACCAGCCCGAGAGACGGGCCCAGCTTTCCGGACCAGCCGTGCACTCTCATCCCTCATGTAAGCAGTGTATATCCAATGGCTAAAAAGCTCATGACGACTGAATTACATGCAACCATCCATGGACTATGCCTCAAACTTACGCCGCCAGCCACCGAGTGCATCAGGCAACCAGACTTGCTACGCCAGAAGGAGCGGAGGCAGCGCCGTAGTAGGCATCCTTGTTCAGGCCTCTTCGAGAAAGCCAATGGTTTTCCGTGTCACCATACGCTGCAAGAAGCGATTACTGCAAGATCCACACCGAGATTGAGCAATTGCTACGATGATCACTGGCGCTATCAACGCGAGCAGGGACCTTCGGTGTTCTTATCCCCCAGGCCGTACCAGTCTGTTCTGGAGCCCCTTATAGCTCAAACAAGGGGTGCACCAAGGGGAAACGAAGCATCCACTCGCCTAGACCTCTCAGCTTTTGAAAGACATGTGTTATCTTCTACCCTTCGCTATCAGCCTTATGTACCATAAATACTAGGGCCAAACACTGACCGAAGCTTTGCAGCAAGTCAGCACTTCAGTCACTGTTTCGCTTCCTACATCTGCACCAGGTACAGTCCCTATAACTACCTGCATATTTGTTTCAATTCCAGCACCTGATCCTTTAACTTCTCTCAAATCTTCTCGTTAATTCCCTCCTGTAGCTGTCGCTGTGTCAGTGACTATGGCTCTATCGCCTGTCTGACGACCTCTGACACTAGAGTTTCTAATTAACATTAAGGGCCAATAATCTCAACCTATTATATATCAGTGCAATGGAATAATATCGGCTACAAACTTTGTAGCAGAAACAGGGCAGGAAGAGGATCCTACAGAGCTGGTGGAGTCGCGGAACACGGCTCTCGCCATGCAAGGACTCTCCACTTCCTGCACACCGACTAATAGCTTAGAACTGTCATTTTGGAGACATGAGAGCTTTCTATGCTGAGAGATTCGCATAGGTTAACACTTAGAATGCACTTGTTGAGCGTGAAGATGTACCTACGCCGCGGCCTAAGCTTGCTGTAGAAATGGCGGCTTCCAAAGCCTGGAAAAGCCTTGGCCTAAGTAAGAAGCGGCAGTTTGATTAGATGATAAGTCTAGCAATATAGATAATCTGAGTGCAGCTTCCCTTCACACGTACCTATGTCTAGGAAAATAGAATACTGTAATCTATTTGGTGCTAGTAAAGATTTGGCTGGCGTTGGGGACAAATCTCAGCAGCCTTATATAAGATGTGCAGAGCCGCTTAGCGCAATCCGAAGTGCAGATTATGACTAAGTACGATCTTGCATGAACATAGGCGTTGCAGGCGCTACGAGGCTTAATATGGCTCAAAACGTTACCGCAAAGTCCCTAGGACATAACCACGATCTTCTAGAATTTTCTAGACGGTACAAACTTCTGTAAATCGTTGTAGTAAAGCGACGCTATCATGCACTAAACAAAGGTCTACCGTAACTAACACAAAAAGGGGAGCAATAACGATGTAATTTTTAGTTAGGAATATAAAGTTAAGCTCAAAAATAGCTCTAGTATGTCGCTAATACAAACTTACAACGATAGTCAGGGTGTGCTGAAAGTCGAAGTACTGAAAGCCGAAGTACCCGTCGTTTGTCCCAGCACAGGGGGTATTCCAGCACTCAGGGAGGAACGTTACATGCTATCCTATATCTCGGCACGCCCGGAGCAACATTCTTGCCCTAATTAACTAAGTAACTAGTCCTTATTATCATTACGTATCACATGTGTGTGGCGAAGATGAAAGTCTTTCTGCGATCTTTTGTCACCACTTGAAACCCTGGCTATAATGCTTTGTCAAGAATGGCAGGAATTGAGACAAGCTTTTTTAGCTAAAATCATTCAGCCGTTGAGTATATGGCATTCTCAGCATAGCACTTATATATCCATATGTTTCTAGGTTGACTATGCTATTCAGGGGGAAAGAAGACTTCATACGAAATGATAAATTCTCTCCATAACTTTTATATTCCACTATTTCATATTTTTTAAAAGATTAGCTGCCTAGCTTGCCTTTCGCCGACACCACTACACACGTTGGCCGCGATCCTATTGTGGGGACTAATGTCCGTGTTAGGTATAATTGTCCAAGCAGTAGGAGTCTGTCCCTTGATCGAAGTTTGCCATGGAATGATCCCCAAAAAACAACGGTAACTGTGCCTGGCCGAGCAGAAAGTCTGCAGGGGGCTTGTTGAGAGGCCATGCCTGGGAGCTGAGATCAAATTTCTCGCTGTTAGCTTGAGAGTAATAATCATCGTTGAAACAAGTGTCGAGGCAGGTGGTTTTTTGCAGATACTGGAGATCTAGGTTGTTATACGGTTGAGAAGCCATATAGGATGCGGCCACTGGCTCGTTGTAGGGTTGTTCCCCCATCTCCGTTGCCCATTGACCAGTCGCGACATCTTCCCTAAATTGTTCATGTTTGCCTAGCATCTTGCGTACGATGTTGTATGCACGTTCACTAACGACATCATTGGACTTCATGGCATTCAGCCATCGAGTGAGTTTCTCCACACATGTGGCGATGTTCGACGGATCTGTTGGCCAATGAATCGCTCCCTGCGCCAATTCGGGGAGGAGCACCGTTATAGCCTGCATAACTACAAAAGTTAGTCGGCCGTTTTTAGTGCAAAATTAAGACTTACTGATGTGTACAATCGACCACCACGGTCCTTTCTCGTAGATCCATCGGGGACTAAAGGGTTCAGGCAGGAACAATGCCAAATCTAGAGCGGCCTGAACGCAGGCTTCGGCTGTCCTCCGGTCAAACTCGGCTGACTCTTCGCTTTGATCTTTTGGGCGTAGGTCCCGTCTGCACAGGCAAGGTCGAGTAATGCAGATCTTAACACTCAAGTAATAGAAATGGAGCACTGATTGCTCCCGTCCTAGGCCAGGCTCCGCGATTGATGCTGCACTGAATGAACCATACAGAAGTGCTTGCAGAGCCCATTCGTTCAGTTCTGCGGTTAACGAGGATATCTCTTTCTGCATACGCTTCCATGATTGAATAACGGGTCGTGCAGAATAGAGGTTAGATAGTGTTTTGTGCAGAATAAGATCAAGTTCCACGTAAGCATTTAGGAATGAGTCTGGGTTTGGGACCGTTTCTATAAAGTTGAAAGATTGCCGGACCTGACTCTGGGCCGACGATAGTGCGGGCGGTATGGGATTCGATCGAAACATAAAGTCTTCTGGCGTTGAACTGCTCTTCGGGCCACACCTCTCCCTTATGGTTGTCGGAAGAGGGACTGTACAGTCCTTTCTTGCTATGAAACGTGGTTGTCCCGTTATGGAAGTGAGGAAACATTCAATTGAATGGAGGGTCCACCAGAGTTCTGCCAATGCATTCTTTCTGCTCGTCGCAACAGAGGGATCCTCATTTCTAATATGGAGACCAGCTGCCTGCGCATATCGAATGGACATGCCGATTACACACCAAGCCCTTTCCGATACATGTTAGTGGAAATGCGCAATATATCGTACTGACGCTAGAGAGCGTCCTTTAAAGCAAAGCTCGTTTTGGCGACATGCGCTATACAAACTGTACATACCTACTAAAATAACCCATAATCAGATAGTAGAAAGAGAGAAGCCCAGTCGCCTGTATGCTGTTAGTCGAAGATTGGCTCCTGGGTTATAATAGACCGAAACACTTACTTGTATGAGTGATATGTCAGGAGCGCAAATGAGTGTCGTAGTTTGATTCAACCTTAGGAAGTGTACTGCTCTCGACATATATACGTGATGGTCGCGGACATCGGCTCTCCGGTGCCGCCAACAAGGTGCGAGAAGCGCGCTCCGATGGCGAAAACAAGGTTAAGGATGGCTTTCCACTTTACGCAGACGTTCATCGTACCGCTGGGTTGGGAAACCCGATAGTACATTTGTAATTGCTCCTCGAATGAGCTGTCAAGGATCCGGAACGGATCATGGACCGCTATCTGATAGGACTCGAACAGTTTTATGGCTATCTCGACAGGTGGAAGAACATCTAGATCGTCGATGTCGATATTGATGTCAGTGTTATCAAGATAGAAGTAGTAACTCGAAAGAGGTCCAATACTTGCTGACTGCTTTTGATGTTCATAAGGTGCATCAGGGCGTTTAGAGGAAGCTCCCTTGTTATCTCTAGGTGCCGCATACGGCATGTCGAACGGCCCGCCTCCAGACTGATCCAGCTTTCGTTCCAAAGTCTGCATCCATTGGATCTGAGAGCTGCGACCCATATAGCCCGTCTCAATTGATCCGAGGTCTCCCAGTTCTTCTTCTAGGAAATCGAGATCCTCATTAGAGCCCACTACGGATAAGACATGAGCCTCGTCAAACGCCTGCCTGTCGCAATTTGTTTCATCAGACGATGACATCTTCAATTGTTTCTTCCATGGCTTGGCGCGTACGGATGGCGATAGTGGAAGTGTGTCATTCTCAAACTCTTTGAGTGCGTCATCAATCCTCTTTGTATGCTCGTCATCGAGGGCGCCACGGATGTCCTCGAGCAGTGTAGAGAGAGTTTCAATTTTGTGAATGGCCCTGTTCAAGTCAGAAACGCACTTAAGAAATACTCAAGTCAACTCACTCTCTTAGCCGGTCCCGACGTGACAGACGATAGATGCAATCCTCGTCATACTTCGTGCAGCTGATGCAGCGCGGTCTAGTGCCAGAGCATTTTATTTCTGCACATGTTAGCTTGCATAATACGTCCACACGAAGTAATTAGTAAGCGTAGTCGCAAGGACGAAATTTAGTATCATACGTACTGCGCTTCTGGCATCTACTGCACTACAGATTTAATCAGCGTCACGGTGCTGATTCGTGGAAGTACGGTACTTACTGCCTTATCCACTTTCTCAGGACGAATACGGGGAGGCCTCGGAAGAACAGTCTGTTGGTCGGGCCGCTTGAACCGAGGGATGGCTACTTTGGCGCCAAAGCTGCTGCTGCTCTCCATTGATGGCAAGCACCTTTAGAGCTGTCTCGAGTCGGCTGGGCGGAGCTCGCGTAATCGTCGAATAGGAGAAGACACCGGGGCGCAAGTGAGAAACGGGGTTGTGACGATGATATCATGCAGTCTACAATTGTAGCCAGCAGACTGGAGGGTGCAGCGCTCACAGCTTCTTTTGACGAGTTCTTACGAAAGGATGACGTAGCCAATGATGGTGAAAGTGGCAAAGCTTGATCCACCCAGATAAACGTCCAACCAATAATCCCGCAACGTCTGCCGCACTCAATGTGTATGTTATCGCGAGCCAATCGCTGGGGGACTTCAAACCTGCTTAGCACTGCTCCCAATCTAAGGTGCGTCCCTAAGTAACGAGATACCTAGTATAACGAAACACTTTCCTTCCGGACCTTCGGCGTCAGGTCAGCGTTGCTGCGTAGATTCAAGGTCAACGCGTATCGATTCTGTAGCTGCTGCTCTCCTAGCATATCGGCCTCCGATGCTGGAAAGCGCGTTGTTAACTGTGTTGTCGCTCGTTCTGTTAAGGCTGTCTCCTAACTTTCCTCTAAAGCCCCCTGTTTTTTTGGCGGTAGTATAGATCTGCAAAAAGCTTAGTGAGCTAGAAAGGAAGCAAAGGTAGCAAAAACTAAGATCGCAGCCTTATATATAATATTGATTTAGGGCAGTTAACATATTTACATCCTAATAGTTCCTCCGCGTCGATGGCAATTTCGTTAAAACGCTAGACGTGCGCTTTTTATAGCACCTGGCATACAGTAGCATGCTAAGATGTCTGCGTGCCACACTGCGCACTGTAGCTAGGAACTGCAGCTCAAGGTACTCAGCCCTAGGCAGCTCTTGTTCCCGACTTTGCAGGCAGCTGTTGGTCCAGTCGTGTACACGCGCATTGCAGACAGCCGCGCCTTGTATTCCCATTACTGATTCCTTTACAAAGTGACTTACTTATTATTAAATTTGCTATTAAAGGGCTCTTAGCTTAGACTTGTGGAACTTTTACGATAAAGTAATTAACTTTTCATTAAATGTCTGCGGAATAGTGCGCACAGTGTGCGTAATTAGATAGTATCTTTACGTCTGCACGACTTACATCGCTGCGCACCCTTCCTCGTTAACATGAGTCTCACGTCCTTGCGTCGCGGGACACCCGGCGGGCCAAGAACAAGAAAATAAGACTGCAAGGATAACAGGTTCTATAAACATAGCGCTGTATCTTATTAGCTATTTTCGGCCCATTAGGTTTTTCGTTGCACAGGGATGGACGTTGGTTAAGGAATAGATGCCCGTACCAATTATAACGATTTTAGAGAAGGATTCTGTGCTACATATACAATCATCTTGCTCTGCTAAACGCATATATGCTCAGTAACTCTCTATTCTGTACGAAGCAAGCGCCTCTTACCAGGTTATATCCTAGGACGGAACTAGCTGCCTGCATGGGCTGCATATACTATGCAGATAGATTTGCCACTATTATACTATATCTCCAAACATCGACTATAATGCAGAAAGTTCTTTCTTAGGTGCACAGCGATGCGGTAAACTGTGCCGTTGGCACTAGAGTGTCTAGAACTGTTGGGCCGGTGTTGACATCCAGCCTATCATGTTAGATACAACAAATAAAGTGAAAGGTGCATCTTATGTGGAGAACGGCAGAAGTGAGAAATGGCTTGCAGGTACTGGTTTCGCAGAAAAAACGATGGAAGAAACGTGTGAGGAGGTGCTGTCCTCTATGAGGTCGGAACAAGCATCGCGGGCGACCTTATATCAGGTGAATTCAAGGAACTAGATAATCGTCCTATGTAAGAGGCTATAATAGATCTAAGTATTTATACACCAGAGTTCACG